CTATGCAGAAAGTCCAGAATCCATCCGCATTGTGCCGGTCTGTTTTACCTATACATCACCAAAGCCAAGTAATCTAAAAAGGAAACCTAAATATCTTCTTTTTCTTTCTGTAACTCAATATGATCCAAGCTTTATATCCAGTAATTAGCAGCAAACTCAGTAACACAGTTCCTAGTTGTGTCCCACCCCCTTCCAAACTTCAGAGTTAAGTACTCGAAAAGAGTTACCCACCTATATCTAGCCAGTTTGTTTTGGGTTTGTTTCTTTTCTTTTTTTTAAGAGATTCATTAAAGTCCATTTTCAGCCCCCAAGTCAAATCAGGACTACAGATGCTTTTGACACTTCCCAGGTCCAGAATCATTCCAAGAGCACAAACCTACATTCGTTCCTTAAAAAAAACAAGCATGGCTAACACCTTTTCTTTAACAGACAATGGCAGAAGGAATGCCTAGCTTAAACAAAGTGACCCAATAGTTGATATATAAAAGCATCTGTCTCCAGGTGGATTTCAGTGTCTCCCCAGCTTTGAAGACATACATCTCCCAGCAGTTTTGAGTTGCTAATAAAAATATCTGATTTAGCTGACTAAAATCCCATTTCTATCCAATTTTATATACTAGACCAGGCCTCACACTGTCAGACATGTAAAAACACAGATAGTTTTATACTGCAAAGAGTTTGTATTACTTAGGAGTGTAAAATTAAGCCTTTGTACAAATTGCATTACTACAGTCTCAGTTACAAGTTTGCTTTTCATTAGCTCTGCTCAACTATTCACCAGGTTGCTAGTTTGCATGTCAACTATTACCATTCTGAAATGCATTTCCATGGTAGAAAAAGCTCAAGTACGAAAACAAATGTTAAATTGCTCAGTGAATACGGAAAAGTTAATGAGGCTGTTGTTAGAAGGTACAACAGAAACACCATTAATTTCCCAACTGACCTACGGTTCATAGGCTTCAGAAAAGGACTATGGTTAGCCTAACCACTTTACTTTTATAACAAACCATTATAATATACAGGCTCCATCCCCCCTCAAGTTTGGCAAGATGAAAAGATACCCAGGTAGAGAGAGGAAACAATGTTTTCTTAGAAGAAATGGCCTGTTCAGCAGAAGAAGCAGCTGAGAGCAAAAAAACATAATACGGCTGAACATAAATATTCTAAAGAAGAAAAATCCTGGATTTTTATTTTTCCTTTCTTTTTTTAATTAGGCTTTTAGAGATCTCTGACCTCAGAACACAGCATGGCAAAACTGGCAAGAATGTGACAGTAGGGTAATGCACTATTTTATCTATTTCCCATATCAGCCAAAGCAAAGAGTGAGCTACCTTTGAACTCTTGCTACATATGTGCATCTGTTTTCCTTCATCTAACAAGCCTTTCTGAGAAGCGCATTGTAAATGCTGAATGCACCAAGCTGTGAAAAAGAGTAAGCATCATACCCCAGTGATCCCAGCACTTCACAGGACCTGGGATACAATACTGCAACTTGCTTAAGAAACAGCAATGAGAACCTATGCTTAAGAACTCTGTGCTAAAGAAGCAAGGAAAGATGCACTGTCTGTAACAACAGCAGAGATAATCCGTGTCCTGAATTGGACTACCTGTTGGTTATTTTGAGAAGTCTTTCCATCATAGCATGAAGCTCAGAGCTGGATTCTCAGCAGGGCACATTATTATATGATACACTCAAGCTGCTACTGTATGTGCCATATCAGCTTATAACCAGCTTACTTTCTACACAGAAATCCAACTAAATGTAAACCAGAAAGTTCACTCTTCAATATACAGTATGAATGCATGCACCTAATTACATATGTGGTATTTAAACCACATTTAGGAAATAACTGCTTATTTATCACTTAGCCCCTGGTCCACCAGAATCTAAATTTGATTCTAAACGAACTGTACCAGTGTTAAGCCGGTGCCTGACTTAATTTAGGAAAGGAATGCTACAACTGAATGGTTTAAGATGAAGACCTCATCTAGGGAGGCAAATGAAAGGCTGCCAAAATGTACTAATATTTAGGTTTACCAGAACTGGGGCATTAGATGCTAAGTGTGACAGTTAGTGTATGTTACAGTGGGCCTTTAAGAGCAAATCCAAACCACGTTATTCACTATTTCAAGTTGGCGACAGTGGATTCCAGCAAACCATCAATCAGTAATACGCCCTTCATCAGTCACACAAGAAACTCAAATACTTCCTAGAGCGCCTCCTACTTTGCGGCATTGCCTACACATTTCAAGCACTGTAAAAAGTCAAGTCCCCTGCATGTTTACAGGACACGTGTCACCACTTCCGATATGTGCAACAAACCCCTAGGTACTGGAAAGTGGAAACTGACCAATGACTTACCACGTTTGTACTTGTGACTTCTGAAGAGCTGGCACAAAACAGGGTCAGGCATATGCCACTAACGAGGTACGCCTGACTGATGACCTACCATCAGGACAATGTGTGTTGCACAGAGGCCACCTATAGCCCCTCTCGAGGTAAAACACCTCGCTTGTCAAACGCTGGAGCCTACATAAGAGTACTTCTGAGGACGTCGGGGGCGACACAAGAGGAGGCTGCTGCCTGCGGGAGGTAGCTTGTGGGGGAACCCCATGAGCGCCCACAGAAGAAAGGCTGGAGCCTGCAGAGCGCCTGCCCTGCCGCGGTGAGCCGGGGAACCCGCGGTCTGCCGACACCCGGCAAAGCCGCCTCGACGGGACCCGCACTCAGCTGGCGAGGCTGGGCAGGAGCCGCGGTGTCCTCCGGCTGCTCCCGGCACGTACCCGCGGCCGCCCCCAGCCTCACACCCGCCCCGACCAGCAAGGAGCCCCCCTACGCTGCTGCGCTCGTGAGGGGCTTCCATTGGCCAGCAGGCAGAGGTTCCCGCGCCGTCACTGGAGTATGCAAATGCCCGCCCACCCCATTGGCTCCCCCGCCCGCGGCGGCGCCAAACAACATTTGCATGGCTGCGGACAGCTCTTTTGTTGTCAACCGCGGCGGGCGGTGCGCGCGCGCTCGGGGCGGTGGGCGGGAGCGCGCGCGCGCGCCGCCGAGGCCGCCGCCGCCCGCCGGCACCTGCTTTCCCTCGAGGCGGGTCGCGCGGGGCTCACCTCCCGGCCCCCCCCCCCCCGCCACGCGTAACTTTGAACGCGGGGGGACCGTTAAGCGCGAGCTGGCCCCGCAAGTGCCCTCAGACGCCGGCAGCTCCCCCCGGCTTCCCCTTCATCCCGCCGCGCTCCGGCGGGAGGCGGTGGGGCTGAGCGCCCCTCCTCCGGGCAGGATGGTGGACCTGGACAGCGAGGTGCCCCCGCTCCCGCCCCGGTACCGCTTTCGGGACTTGCTGCTGGGCGACCAGGGCTGGCAGAGCGACGATAGGTGAGTGTGTGCGCCGTCCGGCCGCGGGGGTAAGCCCGGGGGGTGCCCGTCTGAGAGGGGTGGCTCGGCGGAGCGCGGCCCTGCTGCCGGTGGGTCAGCGCCCTGGGACGGCACGCACCGCCCGGCGGAGGCCAGCCCCGGTGGAAAACTTTCCCGGCAAAGGGATGCGAGGGCCGGCGGGGGGGCTGCGCTGCCCCGCCCCGCCGCCGCCCACCGAGGCGCTGGGCATCCCGTTGCCTTCGGGGCACCGCCGCCTCTGCAGAAGCACCTTTCTCTATACCCTGCGACAGCGGTAGGAGGAACAGTAGGACAGGTGCGGTACTGTTTCCCGATGCTAACATGCACTGAGGGGAAGCCCCACGCAAAATACGCTTTTGCCGCTCGTCGGAAAGCCAGCTGCCGGGGGCTCTGGGTGTTTTCCTGACCCAGTGTGCGTTCTCCTTTACATGCAGTTTCTTTTCATGTGAGGACCCTAGCCTGTGATGTAACTACCATTAGTTTATTCCTTTATGAATTATTTCAAGGACTGTCAGCATCTTTAATTACAAACAGATAGGAAAAGGTATTTGTCTCAAGTCAAGTAATGTTTCTAAAAGAGGAAAGAAAGCCCAAACAAAACCTTATATCAAAATAAACAAACGAACCAGGAATGCATGTTTAATTCAGAAAAGCTAAATGAATAGTATTCATGAGCACAGACATCATCACGCCACTCTAACCATTCAGTTTGATGTGTCTGTAGATTATTGCACGATCCTATCTTGCAAAATTATGTGTGAGATCCACTGTGTAGCAGTAATTTATTATGGTCAAATGACAGATAAGCAAAATTGTCTGGTACTGTATGAGGGTGTATTGGATTGATTTTAATTCAGTGTCTTTACATTGTCAGAACGAGTCTTCAGCTCAGCAGTCAGAAACTTTGTTTTTAAAGCTGGACTACATAGTTTAGATTTTAGCTACTTTCCTAAAGAAAGACGGATTCTCGGTGATGGTGCAATCACAAGATCATGCAGATATGTAACTAATTATTACCTTTTTTTTAGGGTAATATGCTATACATTGAAGCAATTAAATGTTTATTCACACAGTTATGACATGGTGAATGCCAAGACAGTCACAAAAAATGAATGCTGTTGGTTGGAAATGACAGCACTGTAACGACATAATGGAGACTTAAGATCTTAGAATCTCATTTCTCCTGCAATAGGTTAAAAAACGTGCAACCTTTCTTATTTTATCAGCTTCATCTAGCTAGAGTTTTAATGGTTAAAATAAACAAAATATTCTCTGTATATCTCTTTGGACCACTCTGTGACTTAATGCTTTTTCCAGCTCTAGTTTAAACGTCTGTCAAGTGCTTCCCTGATACCAGTTGTGTGACTTGAACTTTATGGAGTTACCTTCTATGGAAAAAGTGTTATCTGGTCTCAAATAGGAAATAGTCTACAAGCAACTGCATAAACCATAACATCCATTTAGCTGTGCAATTGTCTGTTTCATGTCTGTGTGCACTTAACAAAGTGAAAATAAATAATCTTTAAAAAAACCCCACCCTATAGCAGAATTCTAGCATAACAGTATTATAGAGCAGTTGTTGATGAAAATTGTAGCAAAGGACTGCTAGAAAATGAATAGTTACTTTTAATTATTTAATATTCATACAAGCATTGCAAGATCTCTGGCACATCTGAAATATAAAGTATTAACCTAGGACTGGAAATGGCTTTCAAGATCTTCAGGTATTGTCCCATGCTGCAGCTGCACAGCTGCACTGTAGCAGGAAGGCTGTGGGGTACTATCCCCACAATGCCACTAGGATTGTGCTTTACATTAGGTTGTGACAGCAGCACTCTCTCCTCCAGCTCTGCAAGTTGCCATAGCAGTCTTGTTTGATACGAGCTTTCCAGTAACTGAACAAAGTCCATTTTTAAAAATCTTGAGTATTGTCTTTTTTTGTCCGCCTTACAATAAGGTTCTGTCCAGATTCTCGTTGTTCATTACTAGAGGGTATCACTTTTATTACTGAAATACTAATCCAATCTCTTGTTGCTGGTATTTTGCTACTCTCTATTATAGAAAAAGGATACGTATTCTGCATAGAAATACTGTCAAATGGAATATTTAGAGTATTAGACATACATTCAGGAAATACTTAATGGGAAAGACTGCAGACCTGCGGGGACCCTGAGGTCAGTTGCTTATTAGTTATTAATGATTAGTATGACACAAGTATACCCTATTTTTAGTTGTTTACTTTTTTGTCTTTTCTTTGTCTCCTTTCATAAGTGGTTCAAGTTTGGTTTTGGTGAAGCGTATCTTTTGTACTCTATTCTAATTAGTTTGCAATGTAAATGTTGCCAAAGGTGTTGCTTGTAACCCCTTCAGCTGAATGGGCATTAACTATGAATGGAATATCTGAACACTAAAATACAGTTAAGTAGCCTTATAGAATGGCTACAAAATGGCAAGTGATCAAGGCAGTTCATTTTAGGAAGTTATTGGCCCTGGCTGAGATATGGTGAACTGGAAACAGCCAGACAGAGCCTTCAGCAATATGATCTAGCATGAGGCGTCCCTGCCCATGGCAGGGGGTTGGAGCTAGGTGATCTTAAAGTCCTTTCCAACCCTACCATTCTATGATTCTAAGAAAATTATTTCCAGCAACTACGTAGTTCTATTTGCTTTCAACTCTGGAAGTCTGATCTGTATAAGGGGTTTTCCATCTCTGTGATCTGTGAATTTCAGGTCTGTTACCAGCTGAATGCTTTATCTCCTATCTTAGTCCTATTCCCTTTTTGATCTTCCCAGTCTGTTCATCCTTGAAGTCTCTCTTTTCTCCTTCCATTCTGCCCTTTCTGGAAAGATGCTCACTTTTTTCTGTCTGGGAGGCATATGTTCCATCTCTGTGTTTCAGATAATTGTCGATTCTTCAAAGTGGAGAGGAGATGGAATTATTCCTCTCTTCTTCTACAAACTACTCATGATTCTTTGTCACTAAATCACAGTTTTAATAGCATAGTTTGCCAGTACGTAATGTGATAGTATTTAATAACAAATATGATTGATATGATTGAAAGGATACAGACGTCTCTTCTTTTTTTCCTTTTCCTTATTTCTGACATAAGCATTGTACCCAGTTTTGAAACCTGACTGGTTATGTTTCTTTAGAAGAAGAGTTTGATCAGCTATTTTTTTTAAATGATCCTGTCCATTTATAAAATGTAGACATGCTAAAATGCTTGCCTGAATGTAAGAGGACTAGGATTCAGAACTTTTGTTCTTAGATATAAATTGTTTGGAAATGGTTCCTAATGTTTTTTTTTATTTTCTCAAGGACTTCTGTGGTGGAGCATCACTTGGGCTTCTTTTGGGGTTTTTTGTATGTCTAACTCACAGTCCATTTTTTACCTGTACTTCTTCAGGACAGTAACATCCATCTCGCTGCTTTTGCATTTCTCTCCCAGAAAAATAATTCTACTTGCATAGCTTAGATTCCTAACCACCCTTGCAGTTGGCTTCAGTAAGAGGTGGGTTCTGGGCTGTCATATTCCACAAACCACCAAATTGGATTGCATATTATTTTTCATAAAGGAAGTTGCTGTGGGCAGAAGAACATGGTGAATCTTTGGCAAATGCATTTGTTCGGTAAATACACTATTTTTAATAATTATCTGTCTTGAATTTGCTGAGTGCTTTTTTCCTGAAAAAAAAATGGATGTAAAAACCAGTTTTTTATTTTGAAGGGCTAGATTTTCAAAGGACATGGCCCCCTTGAAAACTATGGAGGTGAAGCTTGATGCTTCCAGTACACACATTTTATACTGAATATATATTTGAAAAGCTTCCTTAGGACAACATGTAAAAGATCAGCCCACAAGCTAGAGCGTATGCATGTCAAGTGGGTGAATTCTTTGGAAGGCAACGTAATGTAAAAGGTTTCTTCTGGTGTGTAAATATTCCAGTCACTGGGCTAAGGGTTAAGAGAAGATTGAGTCATCTTCTTTTTCACTAAATCTGTAAATATCACTAATATCCTTTTGCGACTCTCACATTTTACTTTCATTATTGAAAGTATCTGAAATTGAAATAATCTGTTTTGATTTGCTGGATAGTCTGAGATGTTTCTTGACCATTATAATGCAATTTGTCTTTCAGTACTGAGGAAGGGAGCAGAAATATAGGGAGAACTTGGTTAACACAACAAGTTACATGTTAATACAGTGAGGTTCACTGTATTGTATCAGTTATTGTAATAGTAATATACAATGGTAATCATTATTGTAAAAGTAAATTATCTAATAAAACATTTCATAAATCTACTGATCCTCAATCCATAGTCTTATTAGCTGTGTTGAAGAGCATAAGAAATAAAAGTAGAAAATATCCTACTTTGTGAAGACCTGATATGTTTAAACCTTGTAAATTTGCTTCGGAGGAGGGGTGAAAAGAGGATATTTCCCATGTAAGCTTTGGAAAGTTACAATGAAGAGGTTATTCACAAAAAATACTTTCCTGTGTATATATATATAGTTACCATGTACTTCAAAATAACTAAACCACAAGACACTGGAGGTGTAAAGAAAAAAATCCGTTAAAAATAGAAAAGCATTTACGTGCTGTTGGTAGCACTGCTTTTTTAGTAAGGTCAGTCATATAAATTCAGTGAGTATGTTGCAGATCACACTTTACCTCACATTCCTTAAACCATTTATATAAGGACATCTAGTTCATTCTTTAGAAGCTTACGAAGATACAAGAGCTGTATTTGTTTTAGGAAATTCAAACAAGCCAGGAAAGTTTTCCACCACTGAAGCATGACCTCTTACACTAGTGAGCTCTTCAAATTTTCGTTTGCGTTCTTTGGCCATAGCTGGCTAGCCAAAACTATGTTGAACAGCGCAGTGCTGTTGTGGTTTAACCCTAACAAACACAGCTGCTCGCTTACTCCCCCTTCAGTGGAACGGGGGAGAGAATCGTAAGGGAAAAGTGAGAAAACTCGTGGGTTGCGATAAAGACAGTTTAGTAGGTAAAGTAAAAGCCATTCACGCAAGCAAAGAAAAAGTAGTAATTCATTCAGTACTTCCCATAAGCAGGCAGGTGTTCAGCCATCTCCAGGAAAGCAGGGGTCCACCACACATAATGGTTACTCTGGAAGACAAACAACATAACTCCAAACATCCCCTCCTTCCATCTCCGCCCAGCTTTATATGCTGAGTGTGCCTATAAAGTGTACATATATGTGTCCATATATGATATGGAATATGCCTTTGGTCAGTTGTGGTTAGTTGTCCCATCTGTGACCCCTCCCAGCCTATAAAATGTCTTTAAAATGTGCACGTATGTCCACATATTTTGACTTCATTTAGTCCATGACTTTGGGCTCTGTATGTTACGGCAGTCACTCAGAACAGGAGAGGTTATGTGTTGCATGGAGTTACTGGGCACCAAAGCCAGTTCAGATCAGGTCACTGCTGTACTTGTACTGCTGCTTGTAAGGTTTGTTCTCCATTAGTTCACATGGTTCCTGCTATAGTAATTCCCATAACATGCAATTCAAATCTTGGGTTAGTACAATGTGAAGGTACTGCCGTTACAGTCTCCACCATGGGCCCTTTGGACTGGGTTTAACATTCTAATAAACACCTCCCCTTGTGCTTGTTCTAGGTTGGACTTACCCACACACTGCAGTCCTTTAGGGGTCTATCTGCTCCAAGTGGAATTTTATCCATGAGCCACAGTCTCTCCAGGGCTTTACCTGCCGCCACAGCCACAGTTGCTTTGAGGTGCACGTTACAGCGTGGCCTTATGCATGGGCCACAATGCCTTCAGAGATATACCTGCTTCAGCATGGCCATACTCATGCTTGCAGTTCCTCCAGAGCTGTACTTGCTCTGTCCTGGTCTTAACCATGGCCACACGCTTTGAGGTGCTCTCATGAGGCATGATCTCATATGCATCCACTAATGCTTCAGATTGTACCTGCTGCAGCATGGACTTACCTGCAGCCACAGATGATTCAAGGTGTGCCGTCTTCATTGTGGAGAAGGTACAGGTGGCACAGACATGACCATGGCCACAGACACTTTGAGATGTACCTGCTCTGGTGTGGACTTATCCAGAGCACAGATGCTTTGAGGTGTCCTGCTCTTTTGTGGACTCCTCCACAGGTCACAGTCCCTTTGACTGGAGTTCACACTGGAGTGCTGCACAGAAACAGCAGCGATGCCCTGGCCATCTGCCAGCCTAGTCGCATGGCCATTGCTGTTATCAAACTGTTCCCAGGCACAGCAGAGTAAGATGATAAGCAGTACAGCCAGCAGCAGAAGCAAAAAGGAGCCACTAATGAGCATAGACTGTGATACACAGTAAGGGAAGCAAGCACCATGGTAAGTACGGAAGCTGTCTGTTAATAGCTGAACAGCAATAGAACCTATAAATTTGATCTAGCACATTCCACTCATTATCTTGAACACTTCAACAAAAAGGACTTTTGTGGTTTAACCTCAATTGGCAACTAAGGACCACACAGCCCCTTGGTGGGATGAGGAAGAGAATCGAAGAGTGAGAAAATTTGCTGGTTGAGATAAAGAAAGACAGTTTAATAGGTAAAGCAAAAGCCATGCATGCAAGCAAAACAAAACAAGACATTCATTCACCACTTCCTATAGCCAGGCAGATGTTCAGCCATCTCCAGGAAGGCAGGGCTCTTTGATTACTCAGGTCTCATGGTTATTCTGGAAGACAAACATCGTAACTCTGTATGTACCCCTCCTCCTCCTCCTCCTCATTTCCCAGCTTTATATGCTGAGCGTGATGCCATATGGAATGGAATATCCATTTGGTCTGCTGTCCCATCTGTGTCCCCTCCCGGCTTCTTGTGCACCCGCAGCCTACTTGCTGTTGGTGTGATGTGAGAAGTAGAAAAGGCCTTGACTCTGTGTAAGCACTGCTCTGAGGTAATGAAAATGTCTCTGTATTATCAATGGTGTTTTCAGTACAAATCCAAACCATATCCCTTTACCAGCTACTATGGAGAAAATTAACTATCCCAGCCAAAACCAGCACAAGTGCCACAAATGATTTGGCAGTTTGAACATCCAAAGAAACACTCAGAGCAGACAAATTGGAGGTAGGCACCCAATTAGGGAAGCTGAAACCATCTTCTGAAACTTACATAGACTATTTTGTGCCATTTAGTGTCACTGCCTGGGAATGTTCCTGAGCAAGTTAACTTAAGCATGTACCCAGAGGATCATTTTGTCATGAAGGTAACCTCTATACTTTAACACTACTTGCTGCTTCTCCTATTTGTTCCTCTCTTTCTAGTCTCCCATGTTTTCTGCACAGTCACACATTCAAATTATGCATATATGGTGGACTGTGTTGCAGAGACATCCATTTGTAAAGTATAGGCTAGCTTATACATGGTACCTTCCATTCTGAAGTAAGGAGTATAGCCCTTATACGTAGGCAATAAGCGTGTTTTGTCCCAGAGTCCTTAAAAAGAGAAAACTCCAACAAAACAAAACCCCCCAAAAACCAACAACAAAAAAAAACCTTTCTTCCCATATTTTAGAGAAAGAAAAAGAGAGAGAAACATATGGATGTTTTTTAAGATATGCAGAGTGAGATTTATTTTATTGACTTCATAAAAATGTATATAGTATTTTTTTGTTTTCTGTACCTTTTCACTTTAAGCCCCTTTGGGTTTAGGTAAGATTAAGCAGTATGTTCAACTTTCTTTGGACCTTACATACCAAGGTAAATTTTATCAATTCTGAATATTTCTAGCAAAATTAATCAAGATACCAGCAAGTACACATTACAGCATTGAATTGATGAATTAATACAGTGTCATATGAATAAGTCATTTGACAATCAAAATATCTGTTTTATACTACTATTTCATTCTATTGCTTGTTGAAACTTTGTATACAGAGCTAATATGTTCTAGGAAGTATCACTATTACTGTGACACTTCAAAACACATACAACAAACAGAATGGAAAGAACAAAAAATAAACAGAAACCCAATATATTTTTCAGCCCCCACCTTGAAAGCTGTGTATGTCATATCTTCTCTGTATGCTGTTGCATTAAATTACAAATAATTTTTGTAAACAAAAATTTACATTTTTCTAGTTCTGTATTGGTTTTCCTTTTCAGTATATATGTAACAAGACCCATTAACTGGTACTGGAAGTAAATTTCAAATCCTGCTCCTGTATTGAGATGAAAATTGTTATAGTATATAATTTCATAATAAAGCTATAGACCTAAATTTGACCTTTGTGCAAGAATTGTTCTTACATTGGATACTTAAAAGATTAAATTAAAATTGGCTTTCCTTTTTGATGTGCTTACTGCATAAGTGAATATTACCACCTATCTGAAAAGGAGAAAGATTCAGATAATACAGAACACCTCCACACATCACTTGGACAATTGTATACTGCTGACTGTCATGTTGACTAGTGACTTTCAAGGAACAGCTCCCTACTGTAAATCTTAGAAGGCACTTTAACAGTCATTTATCACAGTGTGAATTAGCAAGGAAAGTCCTCCCTTTGCCTTTCCCTTTGGAAATCACCTGAGATTGTTAAACTAAAAGGAGATAAAAAGCCTACACATTTCTGAATCAACTGATTTAAAATATCTGAGTCTAGATTCAACTTGAACAAAAATTTTATGATGATTTTCTCAAAATTTGATTATGGCTTCTTCAAAATACTACTTCTCTTTCTTTCAAGAAATACTTAAGTCAATTTGTCCGCCTTTCAGAAAATATGTTAACTTTTCTGAGTTCTTCCATTGAACAGAGGCTACAAAATAAAAGGACTTAAGCAAATACTGACAAATTTATCTTGATTTATCCTTGTACATGATTTTTCCAAATAAAATTATTTAGAAGCCTAAATTCTGTTTTGAAAGCTTGATTTTGATTGAAACTGCTCAAGATTTTAACAGCCTAACAGTAACAAAGACGGCGTTTTCATATTTGCAGTGAGACTTTGCACAGTAGTTGGAAAGTTTGAGTTGCTCTAAACCCTGATAAAAATTGTTGCAAGTACAGGCCAAGCCCTTTCTCATTGTGCAAACCCAACTAAATTAAGAAAGGATTAAAGAAAAACATTAACATTTGTAAAACCACTGCACTGGCCACACCAAGAGGTCTGAGTTTGCGCTTTAGTGGCTGATGAGTTTAGGGGTACAGTCTCATATATGTTCATACACACCTTCCTTCTGAATTTATTTTAGGATTGAGTCCCTGATACAGTTAAAAGAAGGAATCAATTTGTGTGGAAGTAATACTCTGTAGAAGGCAATTCTGTCAGCCTCATGCTAATTTCTGTTCTAGCATCATTCTTGCAACAACAGTGGAATGTTTCTTATGTTCCACTTAAACTGGGACACACTGGAACACAGAGAAGGACAGGAAAAGAGAAGAGGAACACTTCAGTGCTGTTACAGTTGTATCTGTCTGAGGAAGATGGTGGTCGTATGGCCCCAGCAAGTTTTCTTGTGCAGAAAAGGTTTAAGTGTCTTAGCGTAAATACTCCCACAGATCAAGTAGCTTTCCTCCTCTGGGACAACATGATGCAGAGTTTGTAAATGTGCTTGATGCTTCAATCAGTACTTAATTATACACTTATTACTCTAAGGCTCTTATTTTTCCATCTAGAACTTGATTCATACTACTTTACATCTGGCAGACACCATAATACTCCATGGGGAACTGAAGCAGTGCTTTCCCAAATGGTTTCTGTCTTAATTTTATGGTTATTATTCTATCACAGCCAATGACTATGATTATTTATTTTATAACAGTAAACTTGCACTATGCATTACTGTCAGAAATGGTAACTTTGATTCATATTGGCTCTTTTATCTGGTAACAAAGAAGTAGATCATTTGGAGCACCAGAAAAATCTGAAGCTTCAAAACACCTTTATTGTAAAATGAATTTGCGAACCATTTCGGTGCTGCACATTCAGTTTTTAGACTTCAGTTAAAGGTGATCTTTTGTATTGAATTCTGATACATACAGTATGCTCAAGTACTTGTACTAAGCCACTAAATGCTTTGAAAGTGGATTCCTATATTTTTTCAAGAAAATGAGCAACTCAGGTCCTTCCTGGAGGCCTACACACCATCGTCCCACAACCTCTGTGTCACTGGAGAGAACGCCAATCCAAAGGTTCTGCAGCATAGATTTGATACAAAATGCCTTAAAACAGCTGTTAAAGATTTCAGCCTCCCCAGTGCAATCATCTGCTAATTATGTTAGCTGTCAAGTTCCTGGTGGGAAGTAGCAGTAAAACAGAAACAGTCATTAAGAAGCAAAACCCAGTGTTTATACTCACAGATAAAAACAGTGATATTATCATTTACTCAGAAGTATCTCTTGAGGAACAAATCCTGCCTCCACTTACAGGGATATCTGTTCGGAAGGGCTGTAGCTGTGTGGTGGAAAGCAGGTTGCTAAGTCTGACATTGTGCTTGACTTGAGAGTATCAAACTATGGTAGATGGGGAAAGAAGGCATTAGGTTAAGATCAGTGCAAGTTAGCTACCGAGTTAGCAAAAAGAAGAGAACTGTGCCTGCTTCTCTGTGTCTTACAAGTCTCCTGCTAGTTTTAGCCATTAATAACTACATATCTAACAGCTAGCACAGTGATCATATGCCTAGCAGGGGCAATTACATGATTTGAGCAACAGTCTTCACTGTGGATTAGCTCTGCCAGGAAAAGACTGTCCTTGCCTCCTAGACTCTGTACCCTGAGTCAAACCACTTTGTCTTTTTGCAAAGAAAAGAATTTGCCCTTTAGCTGTTTATGATGTTAAAGTTAATAGCACTTAGCTTACTTCAAGTAGCTTTAAGTTAGAGCTCCTTCAAAGTATAGTGATTGTTAAAATATTTAATGAGTAAACACTATAAAATAGCCTCACTCTTTTATTGTTCTAAATAGCCAAAAATGTTCTAGAGATTTTATGCTTTTTTCTCACTTCGTTTTCTCTTCCCCTTGTGACTAGAGAAAACTGCAACACAGATAAAAGCAGTATTACCAAACCAAATCTGAAACAAATACAGATGGGAAAAACCAAGAAGGTGACTTGCAAACTGAAAAATATGGTTATATTTATTCCTTATGTGACAGCACTTGTTAATACACAGTATTCCTTGACTCTGGGAGGTATTTTAGTTTCCTATCTTCACATCAAATTAGAAAGAAGCTGAGGGCACTGTTCACTTACCACTATCGCCCTGTAATTCTTGCCATCAAGCACACTCAGCTATAACACAGATGGTCTAAAAGCTAAGCTCTGTATGTAGCTGAATGTACCCTTTTGGAAAGTGAGCAAGGTACTTTTTTCACTGTGTACAATAATCTATTGTTTGATCATGTGTTAAAATGGGTTTAACTGGTTAAACAAATCACTTTTAAAAAGGCATTTATATAGCTATTGTCCAGTTTTTAATTACTTCTTGATCTCTCAGTGGTCATTCAAAAAAGATAATACAAACACAAAAAGTGGAACAAAATATTCTGTCATATGCAGATGTGATTTGTCAACCAGGTTTTATAAAGACTACAAAAATGTAAGTAGATTTTTCACTCACCTGAGTATTATAAAAGTGAAGGTTGTCTCACAAGAGTAGTTCCAGACATCATGTATCTCACTGACACTGCGGAATTAAATTAAAAACTGTAATCAAAGTGACCCACATGATGATTTATTTTTATACTGAGACTGACCACAGATTGCAGGAAAATTACAATTTAGCTAAAATGATACAAACAATATCCAAAATGCACTGAATTAATTTTAAAGGCTTGATTAGGTTTTGCTTCCCATTTTTCCTCTTATTTGTCAGTTCACAGATTAGTCTGAGTCCATGAAGAAACCTACAAACTAAGTTAAATTTGTGCTGACATTATGAATCCATTTAATACAATTAATTGTGGCAGTTACTGTTTCTGACTAGCTCAACTGGTCAGCAAAATGTTGGGATTTTAATGTGATGTTGGCAGAGTATTGCATGTGGTGGGAAGAACAAGGCTAGCTACTGGAAATGTTTTGCGGTATAAAGGAAGTATCTGTATGGGAAGAGGGAACTTTCATGGAACAGGCAGCCTTCTGACATACACCATTGGCTAGTAAGAGACTGTTCTGGAGGACCTTAGGTTTTGCTCTTAATTTAAGACCAAAAAATAGCTGTTTGTTAGAAGATCACCGTTATCAAAATTATCAGGTGAAAGTTGTCTTCTAAGGCAGAGGTGACTGGGGATGTAGAGTTGTCTAGCAACCTGCTGCTACTTGACTTCAGGCTAAGGTGAACTGGGCATTTAGAAATTCCTGTCTTTTCTAAGATGGCAGCGTCACATTACAGTGAATAGAAATGATCAGTGATAGAAATGGTGATATGGAGAGAAGGAAGTACTACTGTGTAGTAGTACTCTTGTATTACCCTAGACATTTGATGGTTGATTGTCAGACATCCTAATAGCAATACAGCCAGTCCAGTCCAGCTCATAAACACAGAC